TCTTTCTGTTTATTTGCTCAATTGTTGCTTGTTTCAAAAGTATTAACCACTTTATTTTAATGACATAGTTATTTTATTCTAACACATGCATCTTCTAGGTCATTGTGTTTTTTCTCCTCTGACTTTCTTCATATTATCCAGTTTTGTGACATGCACCTACTGACTGTTGATACTTATGTAAAATCTGTCCAAGTCATGATACTATTATCCTCTTCCAGGAAAGGCTCACCCTTTGCTCTTAGCCTGAGAGAGCACAGTCTTGTGCAATCACTCCAACCCAAACAGGCACTAAACTTGGTCAAGGTTCTCTGAAGTCCTTACAAACATGGAATTTTGACAAATTTCTCATTACAAACATGAATTCTCCACATCGACTCTGCCAGGCCAGTCCCAACCTGTAATCTTGGTACTTTGTCCAAAATCTCACTCCACCTTCAGAGAGTTTTCAAGTTACTTTTTTAGTCTTCTTTCCTGGGTGCTGAGTTGACAAGTGTCCTGGGCAGGAAATAGGTTTTCCATTCTGTCAGAGGCTACTTAATAATGATGTCTATACCAAGAACCTGTTGATTATTCTTCAAGCAAACTGTTGTAGGACTCAGTTCTCACATAAGTGGCTTCCAGATGTATTGAAAGGATAATTTCTGACATTTAGTCAGTTTTTTACAGTTGTTTTCTGTTGTCAGATAACCCATCTAAGCTGGAGGGGAATTCTCCAAAATACATGCATAATCTTTAACTTCGTGTTTTAAAATACATGATTTTTTGTGACTTTTGATCATGAAGGAAGAGCAGAATATTTTTTATTCCTGATGTTGGGGAGATTGAACCAAGGGAATAGCATCTATTAGGCAACTGTCCTACTGTTGAGCTATAACAGCAGATCTTGGCTTTTTTCTGTTCAGGCAGGTATCCTGAGTACTGGACATCACACCAGAAGAGGTACATTGGCACTTCATGGTCAGGTCATTAGAGTTGTCTGTCATACTTGAGCCTTACATGCTTGTCTGCATTTACTTTTTCTCAGTTTTCCTTCTTTCTCACTTTGATTTTAAAATTGAATAATCAAAAATTAAAGTTCAAGGTAAGAGGATGGTTAGCAATTTTCTTTTTATATTTCATTACATCCTTAGGGGAGGAAACATTAATTCAGGGAAAGATGCAAATACTTAAACTCCATAAGAATGACACTTTAGATTTAAAAACAAACAAAAGGTAAACATGATCAATGTGTATACATTATGTACATGCATTAAAAATTCAAAAGGAAATCCATTGCTTTGAAAATGATATATACCAACCAAAAAGTAAAACATGTAAAGATACTATAAACCAAGCTCTTCAATTGTTCATTTTCTGGCAGGAGTTAAGTAAAGTTTTCTTGCAGTTGTACACATATGAATTTAACCATTAGAAAGCACACAATAAGCTTACATGACTCATTGAATATTATTTGGTTATAATTCAGTTAAATATACTATAGTTCAAATCAACTAAGAACCAGTAATGTTTGTATTATGCAGTAATCAGCACAAGTAAATAACTAAATTTAACTGATTATACTTCAAGGTTACACCAAATAATAAAACAAGTAATAGTTAAATATCACAAAAGAATTGTTTTGCTTTCCATATCTACAAAACATTATCAAGTGAAAAAGATCAGAACTAATAACAAGAATCAAATAGAATATTGAAATTTGCAGAGTCTTTTGAAAGGTGAGGAGAGAAGCTTCAGGAAAACCAAAGGAAACATAGGTATCAATATAAACTACAACAGGGCCACAGTGAACAGCATGCTTAGAATGTTTAGCATGCTTAGGGTATGGTATCTGATACCATATGACCATACAGGCTGTCTTAGTTATTTTTTCTATTTCTAGGATAAAATAGGAAGGGTTTTGGCTCACAGTTCAAGATTACCCTATGATAGGGAAGGTGAAAGACAGGAGTTTGAACAACTGGTCACATTGTATCTCCAGGCAGGAAGTAGAGAGCAATGAACACTTGTGCTCAGCCCACTTTCGCCTCTTCACAGTCCAAGATCCCAGCCCAGGGAATGGTGCCACCCACAATGGGCTTCCCATCTCAATTATCCTAAGCATGATAATCCTCCATGGTCAGATGGTTCTAAATCTCATGTTCACAACTGAGATTAACACAAAACCACAAAAGCTCAATGAATACTTTTATTTCTAGAACAAAAGGATGAACAATAAGATAAAATGAAACCATCAAAAGTCCTGATTATTGAATGATTTTAGTCTTTACTTCTGTTATTCAGATTAGTTTGCAAACAGTATTGTGTCCAATGATTTAATAAGATATGGTTTGTGTCTATTTTTGTTGCCTTTTGGTGCCTAGAAGTGTATCTAGGGTCTGGCATGCATGTATGGTCTACCACTGATTATATCCTCAGTCTCAAACTCTTGTGTTTAGTGATAGAGATGACAAATTATTAGTATATAAGTATATATACTAATATATAAGCATATAACTTTAATGTTTATACATAATTGTTTAAGTTAATATTTAAGGAATAAAGTGCTATGTGTGTAATAACGCAAATAACCTCTGGATATGTGGTCCACATAAGAAGAAAAGAGGTCACAATTCAAGTGTCTTAATATTTTAATAAGTCAATGTTTATAATTTGGAAGACAAGCATGCTAATTGTTACACTCATGGCTTCTTGGGGGTAACTATGAGGAACTTCAGCTGTGGGGGAATCTCACTAGTAGAATGTATGCTTAGCAGGTAAGAGGTCCTCTATTTCATATCCAAGAACAGTAAAGTGAAAAACATACAAACACGTTGGCCATAAAAACTTGATATTTTGTGGTTAAAAACAGGCAAAGTAGCCAGCATTTGGGAGACATAGACCAAAGGATGTCTATCAGTTTGAGGCCACCCTGGTCTACATAGTAAGTTCTAGGACAGCCACAGCATAGTGAGACCCTGTCTCAAATTAAAAAAAAAAGAACATACAAACAAACAAGCAAAAACAAAAACAAAAACCAAACCCAAATCATGTAAAGTGAAATTTATTTTATTGTGTAATACTTGAGTTAAGAAAATCATAAAATGAAATATAGTGCAATTGTGTTCGTAATATTCATTATACCTGAAACTACTAAAGTAGATACCAAGAAAAAATATTATAGAAATGGAGGACATGCATATGCTTCATTTACAATGTTAATACTTAGATGAAAATGATTCACTTTCTTCAGGGAACCATACTGCTAGAGATTTGTCAAAAATAAATTCACTG